GCCAGCCTTGGCCTATGGAGGACAGTTACCACTGGGTGTCTCAATGATGCTGTTGCCCCTCTCATCAGCACATTCTTTATCTCATCAGATGATCTTCCAGACAGTCCAATAAAACACAGTCAATTGGTAAGTGTTCCAACCTTTCATACCATACTTACTCCATATACTCAGTGTGCTGAACCTTTTAATCCTTTTTTTTTGCCCAGAAAACTGGAGGCAAGGGGAGTATTTCAAAATGTATACATAAATCAAAATGCTCTTATTTAAAACTTCAGTTCTACTCACTTACAAACAAGGTCCTGATCTCGGCATTTTAAAAAATGCTATAGGGGGCTGGGGACTTAGCTCAGCGGCAAAAGCACCTGCCTGGCAAGTGCAAGGCCGTGAGTTCGGTTCCCGGTACCGGAGAAAAACCCAAAAAAACAAAACAAAAAAAAAAAAAATGCTATAGTTGAGAATTCAACCTTAGTGTAGTCCTAAGACCTGAATCTCAGCATTTTTGCCATCATGCTTCAAGATCTGTAATCCTTATACTTTCCCTTAAATTGGCCATTAGCTACCATGAGCCTTCCCTTATCAATAACTCCTAGTAATAACCCTTTGTTATGATTTCTACTCCTTTCAAACTCATGCAGAAGTTTAATCTCAAAGTCATGTGTTAACTGTATTTAGAGGGTGGAAACTTTATCTATGGTGTTATTATGGCTTATACCTAGATGTCCCCCAAAACCTCAGGCAGTCATAGGTGGGAAGTTTCAAAGGTGGCTGGACTGAGCTGGGTGCATGTGGATTAAGAGTGTGATAAAGGGGTTAAGGGTGTGTATAATGGAAGCCCCACCCTGGGTGTGAGTGGCACCAATCAATAGGTTTATAGTCTGGATGGAATATAAAGGGACAAAGGAAAGCCAAACTGCTGCTGCTGCTGCTGCTGCTGCTGCTGCTACTGCTGCTGCTGCTTCTACTTGCTACTTGTTGCCTTCTGCTTGCCACACATGAAATGTTTCTCCTTTACCATGCCCCTCTGCCATGCTGACTTGCCTTGGATCCAGTCAACCACAGACTGAAACCTCTACAGACTGTGAAATGAAATAAGGTTCTCTCATTTAACTTTGGTCTCAGGTATTTTGTCTCAGCAATGAGAACAGTAACCAACAGTAACCAAGATAGGTGTTTAGAGGTGGGAGCCTTGAAATGTGATTATATTAGCTAATGAGAGGATCCCCAAGACTGATTCCTGATGGCTTTATAGAGGAAGAGAAACCACACAGATACAGAGAAACATATGTGTTCCTACTGTGATGTGGACAATGGATACCATCCCTAGAACTTGTGCTATGCTGTCTGAACTTCTAACCTATAAAACCATGAGCTAAATAAGCCTCTATTCTTTATAAAGTAACCTATCTCTGATATTTTATTATGGTAACCAAAACTGAACTAATACAGCATCTAGTTCCATAGTCACTGGAATAACTACTTTCCTCCACCTCATAAAGACTTGTGCCTCAGATGGTGGCACACATCTGTAGTTCCAGCACTCTGGGAAGCTGAAGCAGGAGGATAGAAAGTTGATGCCAAGTCTGGGCAAGTTAGTAACTTAGCAAGAATATGTCTCAAAGTAAAAATAATTTTTAATAGAGCTAAGAATGTAGCTCAGTGTGAAGGCTCTGGGTTTGAGTCCCAGTACCACACCAAAAAAGACCTGAGATATAGCATCCTCCCCTACATTCTTTCCATCAATATCCCACTGTTTTACTCCAGTGACATTTTTAACAATTACATTGTTACAGCCTTACACATGCTATCTGTATTCCACCAATTACCAGTGATGTGGTCAACTGCCAGAAATCTGGCAGACAATCCAGCTCAAAATTCCAGTGTAGAGTTTGCTTTCTTAGGATCACTAGTGATACCAACTGTTGTAGGACAGATTCCCTAAAAACAGTGTGAGATGGAAAATTACACATAAGGGAATTATTGGGTAGTAGTCTCTAGGTGAAAAAAATGCCTGTCCAGGAGTGATATAAGGATAATTAGGCAGAATAATAAACTGAAGTGTTGTGCAGTTGTAACAGGGAACTCATTTGGTCCCTTGGGAACTATTAAGTCAAGATAATCCATTCAAAAAGTTGCAAATTGAAGCAAGAGGATCAGCTTTTTGAACTTCTGTCTTTGCGGGGGAAATGCAACTTGTGAGAGGCATCTCCATTTATCTAGGAGGTGTTCAGCTGTAAACAATATGCAGCCATATACCTTGGCAGCTAGAAAAATGGTATCTCAGCTCTCATAGGCGAACCTGACAGTACACAGTGTACACTGTAGGGTGTATTAAAACTTGTAGTTTCAGTTATTTATTTATGTTCTGCTCCTTGCAATTATATGTTATTGTTTTGTATATTTAGAGACCTTATTGTTAGGAACATATTATTTATGATGGCTACATCTTCTCTGTGAATTTTCCCCTTCACAGGTATGCAAAATTTGGATTTATTCCCTTTTCACACTAAACTCTTTTGTCAGATATTAGGATTGTTACCCGTATCAATCAGGATTCAATCAGAGAACAGAACAAGTAAGTTATACAAAAAATTTAATGCATGGAGTTGGCTTACTCAACTGAGGGGGATGACAAGGCAAGTTCAAAGTCCAGAGGGCAGCCCATCAGGAAGGGCAAGCTGAAAGATACTGAACACAGATGGAGTTTCTTCATCAACGACATCTCATTTCACTTTTATGAACTTTTAACTGATTGAACCAGTCCCTTTCAAATTATCTAGGATTATTTCCCATGCTTAGTTCAACTGACCTTATAAATTTAATTGCATCTACAAAATACATGTGTACAACACCCAGACTGTTTACTTGAATAGCAAAGGACTATAACCTAGCAAAGTAGATACATCAAAAGACCACTACATGTCCCAACTTTGTTTTTGTTAAAGTTCTCCTAGTGTGATGATATTAAGACATTTTGACACTCTTCCCCCATGGAGTCTACATCCATTTGATTCTCTCTGCAGGTTTGCAAGTGCTTTGATCAAGATTATGACAAAATTGGTGTTAGGGGACTTCCAAACTGTATCATAATTGGCCACAGTAGTACAGTTAGAAACCATGGAGATGAGGGAGTCACTCCCCTTTCCTCTATTGAATTTTACACAGTACCTTACAGTTATTTTTGTTTTCATTGTATGAAGAGAGATAAAAAATAAAATAAAATAGGTTGAAATTTTGTACACAATGAGTTCTTCCCTGTACACAAAAGCTCAGGAGATCTCTGATGATCTAGGCAACAGCACATGTGTTGGATCTTCTAGCCTGACCTTCCAGTCACCTTCACCCTACTCCCAACATGTTCATAAATATGTGTGACATATCATAATTATAATGAGTATCAGAGTGAATTCTGGGACAAACATGTATTGAGAGCCCCCAAGATGACTCAGCACCCTGTCAATCACACCTAGAGATTCAGTGGGATCTCAAGTGAGGCGCCTGGCCTTTAAATTGCAAAAGCCTGATATAACTGTATCTTTTTGTTGCTGTTGTTTTTGTGACCTGTGTGCAGCATTTTTCTTTCATTCAGGCATCTTTTTCTTTCTGTGCCTCATTGTGGCATAGTCTTCCATGATCACAACTTCCCATGATCTTCAATAAATGTAGCTGCTAACCACTTACTATTGGATGTTCACTTGGCAACTCATTCCTCCCTGTACACAACAGCCAGGACTATTACTGGCCCATTCCACTGCAACACTAAGCCTTCTTTGGTCACTGGAACACTCACTCTTGAAGTCCAGAATCTCCACATAATAATTCCAACTACTCTGAATCTTTTATGTCAGAGAGATCGTATTTATGCACTCTAGTCAAATCCAAGCTGAACTCATCTTTAAGCTATGTCACCCTAAGCACTAGATGTGTGTGGAAATAAACCCTCCCAGCATCAAAATTTCAACTCAGACTTCAGATATAACTGGACAAAAATGAAACACCCCCTACAGCTCTCTTTCCAAATTCGTCACCCAAAGAATCAGGGAGCACAATTAAGTGGTTATTCTTTAAACCCATTAACGTTTTGAAGTGAGGCTGTTGTTGTGCTGGTGGTGGTTGTCATTGTTGTTGTTTTGTTTTATTTTCTGAGGCGAGGTCTCGCACTCACTAGCTAACCTGGCTGGAGCAGTTTTGTTTTGTTTTTTAAACAAAGTAGTATATAGCAGGAATACTTGAAATGTGTTTTTCTAACCTTTCATTTTTCAATTATTTTGTTGTTTTGTAACTCATAAATAACATGTTGGTGTGTGCGTGTGTGTTCCCAGTCTGAGTCTCAAATTCTTGAGAAGGAATTCAGAAGCTTTAAGTGTTTATGCATCGTATATCCCAAAATAACATTAGGTTTTTCTCCCTTTAAACTCATGTCTTCCATGCCCAACCTTCCCTGGAAACGCTAGCATGCAATTTTCTGTGGGTAACTGACACGGACCCTCAACCTCAAAGCGCTCCTATAGTACCTGGTTCCTCCCGGACCTCCTAGTCGTCTATCAGGCCTGTCTTTGCCCTAGGAAACTTTAAATTTCCTTTCAAAGCCTTCAGGTTACCAAGCAAGGCACTGTGATGGGTGGAGGCGGTTGCCATGGACACAGGTCCAGGGCCAGGGGCTGTGGAGGGGTAGACCCGAGCTCGGGTTCTGATTGGCTCTGCAGGCACGCAGCGTTCTCCTGGTGCACATGCGCAGTGGGGGTGAGGCGAGGTCGCAGCAAAGCCGAGGTTCTTGGTTCCGAGCCGGGCTTCTCGGGACCAGACTGGGACTTGCGGCTCTTGTCCGAGTCTCGTTGTGCTTTCGGGGAAGGGAAGTGGCGGCGCCAGAGGCCCCTCCGCAGCGCAGGGCTGAGTCCGCCACGCAGGCGCCCGTGACGCCGCCGCCATTGTTGCCCGTGGCCTCTTGAGCCGTTCAGACTGCGCGGCGGCCCGGTCCCAGAGACAGGTAATGACGTCCCTGCGCGAGTGTCCGCGCGGTCGGGCCCGGAGCCCAGGCGCTGCACACGCGGGGGCCCGCGCTTGCTTTCTGCAGGGGGAGCAGAGACGGAGTGCAGGCGGGTGTGCGGGCCCAGACCCAGCGTTGCGCGTCGCGGGGTCCCCAACACCCCCGCTGCGCTCGGCCCCTCCAGCTAAAGAGGAGGAAGAGGGAACAACCTGGAAAGGCAGGCAACCCCGGGCCGGGCCAGGAGGCCCGGTGCTCTCCTCGGGGCCTTGTAAACACTTGGTCTGGTGGCACTACTGTTGGTGGAACGGGGCTGGGGGCGGAGAGCTGGCACTGGGGACAGGTGGGTGTGGGCCGTACTCCTCCAGGTCCGACTACTTCTGAGGTTTACTTCCGGAATCCTGGTTTCAGATATATCTATAAAGCAGCTGTCTCTTGTAGAAGCACTGAAATAGCTTCCAGGCACACCTCTTCGACAGCTTTCTAGTCTTCCTAGCCTGATAATAGTGAAAAACTGTAATAGGCCCTCAATAACATACAAAGCGTATGGATGACTCGCCCATTTTCCCCCACACGTTGCTTTCGGGAATCTTGGGCACTTTATTAAAAAGAAATTCTTCTCCCAGTACCCACTCATAGTAAGTGTACTCTTGCTGAGAGCCATTTCAGACGTTACAGCTTCTGTGACATCAGTGACTTAAATACTGAAACATTTTTTTTTGTTGTAAAACTATTGAACGTTTCAGCAAGTTAGAAGTTACTTGTTTTACTAGAGGTTCTTTATCCTACCACCACCTTTTTATGGTAGCTCCACCTGCCCTCCCCACCCACCCACACACTACCCCCAAGAAGACTGCAGTTCTCTCACAAGTCCCAAGGATACAGGGGTGGAAGGCCAAGATGAAACCTATGTGTGTTTGTGCACACTGGGGAGTCTGTCTCTGTGTATACATGTATAGTAGAGAACACCAAGATTTCTTGACCTTGTGGTCCATTCTTGTGTTTCAGGGTCTTTTATTCATCCCTGCAAGTTCTGAGCTCAAAATTTGTAACTAAGGCTGCTAACTTACCTTCATCCTGTTCCGCCTCCAGCTGCAACAGCCTTTGATATAATGTTTTTGTGGCTGTAGAATGACACTTCAAGCAGTTGGCTCATTACTGGAGAAATAAAAGATATTGCCAGATTGACTATCCTGTCTGTAGCCATGTTAGCCTCAAGAAAGAGGATGAACAATTCTTCACGCTCCCAAATTCTTCTAATGTGGAAGCCAGACAAGGCCCAAAATGGACCCCACAATTTCGAAAAGCAAACTCTTACTTCAAGACTCTTACGTGATACTGAGACCTGTCGACAGAATTTTAGGAATTTTCCATACCCAGACATGGCTGGTCCTCGAAAGGCACTGAGTAAACTCCGAGAGCTCTGCCTTAAGTGGCTGAGGCCTGAGATTCACTCAAAGGAACAAATCCTGGAGCTGCTGGTGCTAGAGCAATTCCTAACCATCCTTCCAGGGGAGGTTAGGACATGGGTAAAGTCCCAGTATCCAGAGACCACAGAGGAAGTGGTGACTCTGGTGGAAGATTTGACTCGGATTCTAGAAGAGGAAGGTGAGAATTGTAAACCAGATAAGGGAGGAATCCCTGGGTGGTTAAAAGAGACAACTAGCACTTCTGAGAGCAATCCCTTCAAAGAAATTAGAACAAAGCTCAATAAGTGAGTGAGACCAAGGCCTTAGCATGAGCTTCATTCTGCACAGTGTACCCCTTCTAGATTGCTTAGGACCAAACAAATGAAACCCAGAGGAAAATGTCATGAAGTAATGGTTAGACACAACCAAATTAATTTGTGTGGACCCTCAGGAAATTTACTTGTAGAGGTTTGCACCATTCTAATCATTTGCTTTGAGAATTCGATTTTATAATGTGACACCTAAACTAGATTGTCAGCATGGTTTCGTAGCTACCCGGGGGGAAGTAAAGTGCACATCTGGGTATCTCTCAGTGGGTTACAGAGGTGTGACCTTGGGTACTATATCTGGTCCCTGGCCCCTTCCTCTCTGGCACTCTTCCCCTTCTTTGCTTTCCCGCCACTGTGAGGTGAGACTGGGTCAACCATGCCCTTCATCATGTTGTTACTTTGGAACCAACCAACTATGGACTGAATCTTCTGAAACCATGAGCCAAATTAAGCCTCTCCTCCGAATTGTAGGTATCAGTTCTTTTCGTCCCAGCAATGGGAGAGTTGACCAATACAAATAACATACTTCCAAAAGATAGTGTCCAAAGAACATTCCCTTATTGACAAGAGAGACAACTGACAAAACTGATCTCAAATAAGGATTTAGTAGAAAATTGTGTGTTTTCTACTTATACTTAAAAGTCCCAGAGTACATTTATTTTTACAGTCTACATTGATGTCTTAGGACAAGCCATTGGCCTTTCTCTCTGACTCTGAAGTATGAGTGCTGGCTTTCTTTTGACTTCTCACTTAGGAATGTAAACAGTAAAGGAGTGTATTTGGTGAAGGGTTTCCTAAGCTATACAAATAGGACTAATTATCACAGTCTTTTTTTCTTTTCCCTAGCTCCTCAGAACTCTGCCCTTTCCCAAGAAACTCCAGAGGAAGACACCAGAGGAAAACATGCTTTCCAGGCAGACTGGCTCAATGACTTGGTGACTGAAGTAAGTTTGAATTTCTTTTTGTTATTTTTAAAGTGCCTTCTGAGTATATAAGGATATTTTCTGCCTTGCTCCTATAACTACTATGCCCTCAAAAGCCCTATCTAGGACCTAAGCCTCAGTTTCTCTCATTAGTTACCTTGGCCTACTAGGGAAATATGCTTCCATTGTCTTCCTTTGATATACCTTTAAGTAATAGAGGTAAGATATTTACATTCATAGACAGATGGTTTTGGTTCCTGACTCATCATGGAATCTGGCTTGGGACAAGATACTTAACTACTCTTAACCTCTTAGAATGTGAGGATTAAATATTGAGACTTGTTATTATCTTTAGTTACAGTAAGTGAGCAGTAAATAATAGTTACTAGTATTATTTTTCCTTATGAACAAGTAATTAATGGTCATGCCTTATGTGGTATACTTTTTGCTCATGAGTCTTTTGGTTTTGTTTTCACTAAGGATTGATCCCAGGCCTCATGTGTGCTAGGCAGGTTCTTTACTTCTGAGCTATATCCCTACCCTTTTATTATTTTATTTTGAAACAGTCTTACTAAGTTGCTCAAATGTGCACCACCATGCCCGTCTACTTCTCTCTAAAATTTAAAGTGTGATTTTAATATTCCAAAGGGTTTTTTTTTTTCAAAAAGCAGGGGGAAAAGTAAAAATGAAGAGTGAGAGAAAAACTGGTTCTGCAGAGCAAGCTTGGGCCAACTAAAAGGGAAAAAAGCAAGATAAAAGGACACTCTGGAGAAAGCAAGGTGGGGTATCAAGAAGAAAGCCACAATAGCTCCAAGAGGATTTTTTTTTTAAGAGACTGAAGATTATATGAAAAAATGAACACATAAGAATAATCAATGGCCAGGGATATAGCTCAGTGGCACAGTGCCTGCCTGGCAAGCACAAGGCCCTGAGTTCAATTCCCAGTATTCCCCCAAAAAATCAAGAGCTGTGTGTGATGGCATTATAATCCTAGCTACTCAGAAAGCTGAGGCAAAAGGATCACAAGACCAAGTCTAGTCTGAGCAACTTAGAACTTTTCTTAAAATAAAAATTGAGCCAGGGATGTAGCTCAATGCAAAGGCCCTGAGTTCAGTACCCACTACTGCCCCTCCAAAAAAAGGAATCAAGAATTTGTTTTTAATAAAGACAAAAGGACCACCAAGCTTACCAAATTGTAAAGTACATCTAAAAGTGCAGCAGTTAACAGTGTTTGTTGGTTCCAGTGTTACTTTTAAGAAGAGTGAAAGAGGTCTGGGAACGTAGTTCAGTGGTAGAGCACATGAGGTCCTGGATGCGATCTCTAGCACTAGAGAAAAAAAAAGACTGAAAGAACTATTCTGCATTTCATTATAAAGCATGTAAAATTTTTTAAATGAAAACATTAAATTCTTACGGAAAATCTTGAAAGACAAAACCTATCATCTACTAAAGTAGATCTCTATCATCTACTTCTAAATTTTCAAGACCTTACTTCCTTGCTCTTTTTTTTCTTTCTTTTTATGAGGTTGGCAATCAACTTTAGGGCTTTGAGCATGTGAGGCAAGCACTCTACCGCCTAGCTACATCACCAGCCCATTTCTCCTTTAAGATAGAGCTACTAGTGTATGTTCTAGTACCAGCTGAGAACAAATTCTATTTTTAAACTTTCCTTTAAGACCATTGAGAGATACTGTGGAGTCATGCATATTTCTGGGTTCCCAAAGCTTAAGGTTCTGTGACCCCCATCATCACTTCATGCATGCCTCTTGTTACCATGTCCTCCTTCCCATAGTTAGGTTATACTTGATATTTTAGGAATCAATGACATTCAAAGATGTGGCTGTGGACATTACTCAAGAGGACTGGGAGCTAATGCGTCCTGTACAGAAGGAACTGTACAAGACTGTGACATTACAAAACTATTGGAACATGGTTTCTCTAGGTAGGTATCATCAATACTCCTCTTCCCAGAATGCTAGAATATTTTTTGTACCCCTAGTTGTTAATAATAGTTTAAGCTGTGAACTATTTGCCTAAAAATAAGGTATACAGATGAGTGTTCTCCTCTTTAAAGCACAAAAATGTTCTAAGTGAAAGATCATTGAAAATCATGATGTATAGCTTTACAGTGTTACAGCTTGCCTTGCCTTTTCTCCGGTGCTGTGTGGGAAGAATTCTGCCCCCTGGGATTTCTGACACATACCTTCTTGGTAGCAGGAAATTATTATCCTAGCTCTGAAAGAATGAGACCCAATTCTCTTAGTAGATCATGTCCATGAACTATTACTTTTCTATAAAGGCCTAAGAAGTCCATTAATTTGGGTAATAAAATTTGCACAGCTGTTTATCTCCAGGATAAAATGCACTATTTTCCTCCTGGACAGGATTGACTGTGTACAGACCAACTGTGATTCCCACATTGGAAGAACCATGGATGGTGATAAAAGAAATTTTAGAAGGCCCTAGTCCAGGTGAGAGAACATCTTTACCCTTAGGAGTTATATCCTAAGTCTGCTGAGCTTTATTTTTCAAATACAGCCAAGTCACTGTTTGCAAAGATTGTATAGCCCATGAAGAACTCTGAGCTGTTTGCCATAGCTTCCCTACAAAGGTCATCTTCAGGAAGAGAACTACCAAACATCATTTCTCTCTCTCTTTTTTTTTTTTTTTTTTTTTTTTTTTTTTGGGACAGGTCTTGCTATGCAGTTTAGGCTGGCCTTGAACTTCCTTTGTAGCACAGGCTGGCCTTGAATTTGCAGCAGTCCTCCTGCCTCAGCCTCCTAAATGCTGGGATTACAAGTGTGCACCACTACACACAGCCCCAAACATCATTTTTACACCTTTTCCCTGTCTCCCCTTACTTTGTCCTCTGCATGATGCCTAGGTAGCATCTCATAGAGCTTTTTGGAGATCTTACTGTACCATTTTCCTCCCTCTCTGTGTAACCATGCAAGAATGTACCTTAAAAGTTATATTTCAAACTGCCTTCTTTTTTAGTTTCCTTTACTGTTTACTGACAAACCCCTGCCTCCACTGTCCTCATTGCCTTCTCTTTTATTTTCTAATTATTTCAGAAGATAATATATGGACCTGACTCAAGAGTTTAAAGTATATAAGGTCAGATATATACAGACAAAAGTCTGCTGCCCCATATTAGTTACCCAGTTCCAATATCTCCCCAGCAGCAACCATGGTTGTTAGATCATGTCTGTGAACCACTGTTTTCCTGTAGAGGTCTCTTGCCAGATAAATAGAAATTATATAAGAAACCTGGAATAACTATTTATCTACAAGATAAAACCTGGATTTTAAAATAATTTCTAATCATTCCCTACTTTTCCTGATAGTTATCTTTTACTTTTTTATTTTAATGTAACACAGGTAGATACTAATAAAGAAAATACAAAAAATACTATGCGTCTATGAAAAAAACAAAAATTTCACAACAAAATAATTAGAGGATAGCAATGGTTAATGTACTGTATGTCCTGATCTTCAAAGAATTGCCAAAATGTTACTCAGAGTACACAGACAAAAAAGAGTTCTTACAAAGAAGAAATAAATGGGGCTGGGGATTTAGCTCAGCGGCACAGCGCCTGCCTGGCAAGCGCAAGGTCGTGAGTTCAATTCCTGGTGTCGGAAAAAAACAAAAAAAAAAAAAACAAAAAAAAAAGAAATGAAGGGACAAAACTTCCTTTTCAATACACAAAATAAACAAGTAGAGTCCAGGAGGTAAACATTGTTTTAGTGTTCTATTTGGGTTTTCTTTTTTGGGTTTTTTATTTTGTTTTAGGTTTCTTTCTTTTTTTTTTTTTTTTTGGTTTTTTGAGACAGGGTCTCTACATCTAACTTATGCTGCCCTTAAACTCACTATATAACCTAGGCTGGCCTCAAACTCATGGTGATCCCCATGCCTCAGCCTCCCACATCCTAGGATTACAGGCATGCATCACCCAGACTGGCTCTGTTTTTTGTGGTTTTTTGCACATAAAAATATTTAAATTTTTTCTCCATTTTTCAGCGTAAATATGCCTACTATGCATAATGTTTTGCTTATTTTACTGAAAACACATATATATCTTTGAAATGTTCCAAATGAGTTTGTAAAGAGCTTGATCATTTATTTTTTTAATATCTGCAACATATTTTATTGTCTGAGTTTATTGAACTGACTTTATTGATAGATATTCTGATTGGTCCCATTTCTTTCTTCTCTCCTCCTCAACAACTTTATTTTGAAAGACTTCAAACCCACAGAAAAGTGGAGAACACAGTACATGAGCAACTATATACCATACTTTTCATCCAGAATCCTAATAATCATCTTTTAGCTATTTTGCTTTATTGCTACACAAGGACACTTTGTTTTTACTCTGAACCATTCAAAAGTTAGTAATAACGTATCTCTCCTAAATATCTCCTAAGAACTTGAACATTCTTCTACATAAGCACACCATTCTTACTCCACATACTTAACATTCATACAAAAGTGTCATTTAACATGTATCTCAGCTATCTAAAAAATACTTTTTAGTTATTTTTCTCCTCAGTCAAGGAGACCTTGTCAGGAACCACACGTTGCACTTATTTATGTAATGTCAGTCTTTTTAATATAGAACTGTCCTCCAGCCTTTTTTCCTCTTTTTTTAAATCTTTCATGATACTGTTTTAAAGATCCGGACCAGTTTTTTGGTTTGTTTTTTGTTTATCTGTTTAGAATGACCCACAATCTGGATTTGCCTATTTCTTTCCTCATGATCAGATTCAGATTAAACATTTTTCCAAGGATATTTCAAAGATGGTGTTACTTTTCCATACATTTACACAGAATGCACATAATGTCAATTTGTCTTATAATTGGTTAGCTCAGTTTATTAAGGCGGAGTCTACACGATCTTTCCATTTTAAATGTGCATTTTTAGTAAGTAATCTGTGAGGCCATATGACTGTTCTATTCTTTACTAACTTCTTACTTAATGATTAACTGCATCTGTAAAGAATAGGTATGCTTCCTATCCCTTTTTTATCTGTGTGAACTACTATAAAATAATGAAATTTTTTAAACTTAAAGACGTTATTAGTCCATTAATCCTAGTAGGAGAAAGCTGTTTATTTTTTGTTTTGATATGTATCCCAAATTTGGAGAATGGGAGCCTTTCAAACCAAGCCAAACATCGTTTTGACAGAACCCATTTATTTTTGAGCATCTTCTTGATTTCTGTCATAACAAATTGTTCTTTGGGCTTACCTGTGCTTACCTTAAACCTAAAATTTCTTCAAGGAAACCTGGTTCATTTTAATGGAGAATATTAGAAACCAAGATCGAAGCAGTGACCCTGCTGACTATCATTGCTTCCAGAGCTGTTCAATAAATACAGCTGGGAAATTAAAAAGACTGTGTGTGTGGGGTGTGTGTGTGTGTGTGTGTGTGTGTGTGTGTGTGTGTGTGTGTTTTCTTTAAAGGTCCATGAATTGGCACACACCTATATTCCCAGCTTCTCAGGACGCTGAGGCAAGAGGATCATAAATTCGAAGCCAGCTGGGCATCACAGCAGCCCCTATACCCCCCACCGCCAAAAAAAATTTTTTAAATTGCTAGGTGAATGGGTTGAGCTAATACTGATAACTGTAATTCAAATTCAAAACCACAAGGGTATTCCATTTTATATATTCCCATATTCCATTATGTATCACTATGTTAGTTACTTTTCTCTCATTGCTGAGACAAAATACCTGATGTTCAAAATTAAGGAAGGAAAGATTTATTTAGCTGACAGTTTTTGGAGGTTTCAGTTTATAATCGACTGGCTCCAAGGCAGGGTGGCATGGCAGAGAGACAACAGTTCCTGGTGGCAGAAGGCAGTAAAAGCAACAAGAACAAAAAGGGGAGAGCAGGCCTCTTTTCCTCCCTTACAGTGTAAGCAGGCTACCAACCCTAGGGTGGGTGTAGCACTCACACCATCTCCATGCCCTCCTCTTGCACGGGCTGAGGATGTTTACAAAGTGAGGACCCTGGCCCCCTGCTGAGTCTCTTAGTTAAGTTTCTAAACTTCTCAAGCTGACACAATGAATCAACCATTATAACATCCTAAGACATAAACAGCTGCACTAGGGCATGTCCTCTACACCCTAGGATGTTAAACTGATTAGTCAGTTAATTGAGCTTCTAAACTTCTCAAGTTGACACAATATATCAACCATTACAGTCACCTTTCTTACATAATAAATAACCTAGTTCCTACCAACATCAATGTATTTACTTATTTGCTCTATCATGTTACGGAAATAGTTTCAGAATTACATCAATACCACTACCAATAACAAACTTTCTAAAAATTTTCAAGATTTCTTTGAAGTCCTTTTTATCCTTAAAATATATCCTACTAAGGATATTGTTTTCTTGGGGTGAGGGGATTATTCTTTTGTGTTTTACATTTTTAATATGTTAAAATATTAACATGATTAGAGATCAAAACTATATAAAAAGATATACACTCCCATTCCTTCTACCTAACTCCCATCAACTGTATAAGGTAACTGTCTTAGTTACTTTTCTGTCATTGCTGAGACAAAATACCTGACACCCAAAATTAAGGAAGGAAAAGTTTATTTAGCTTACAGTTTATAGAAGTTTCTGTCCATACTTGGCTGGCTCCAAGGCAGAGTGGCATATGGCAGAGAGCAACAGTTGATGGCGGCAGAAAACAGCAAAAGCAACAAGAGGAAAAAGGGGGCTGCTGTGGCAAGCAGCCTCTTTCACTCTCATACATTGTATGCAAACTATCTGCCCCAGAGTAGGTGTAGCACTCACACCCATAATTCCAACATTGGACTATGAATCAATCATAAACTCTAGAAACCTGCTGCATGACTGCATCAAGCTTTGGGGGGACATCCAAGCACAAACCATAACAGTAACCATATTCATTTGTTTTTGTATTATCCTTTCTGTTTTGTTTTGCAGCAATGAATCATTAATATATTCTTATATCTCCTTTCGTATAGAAAAGAAGAACTCTGTATGCACATACATCTTGCTTTCCTACACCTTTTTTTATTTAAGGCACTGATTCCTTGCAAACTTATCAGTGTTGATACACGAACACAAAATTAACAGTAAATTAAATAATGACAATATCTATTTTACCTTTGTGTAAATTGCTTCACTCTTTTTAAAAAATTAACTTGGAGCTGGGTGCAGTGGCACATACCTCTAATCTCAGCTACTGTGAGGCATGTGGATTCCAAGTTTGAAGCCAGCCTGGGAAATTTAGCTTAATCCTATCTCAACATAAGACTGTGGCTATCACTCGATGGTAGAATAAGTTGCCTACCATTTGTAAGGCTCTAGGTGTTTAATCTCCATTATAAGGGCAAAAAAAGTATTCTGTGGTCGTTAGGTATTTTAAGGGTCATACTACTTGAGGAGCTAGTTCTTTTCCATAATTTATGGTCCTTTTTGGCAGAATGACACATCTTTGACATGCTGACTTCTTTAAAGAACAATATAGCACCTTCTAAACACGGAGAAAATATACATAGTGTAATGAAAATAATCTTAGACTACAGTTGGGGTAGACTTCTGGGAGATGCAATCAGTCCAAGACCATTTGAACATCACCTCACAGCATGAGTTTTTTAGACCATTCAGAGAACAAAAGCTAGAGCTGTAAGTCCATGAAGATGGCCAGTTAGTGTATTGTGGGAGATTTTGCTCTCTCTAGAGAGCACAAAGACAGAAAAGCAAGTTATTTTGTATACCCTAGAGAGGTAAGGTTTGGGGATTTTAATTTTGTGGGATGCCCTTAAATGCTGTTGTAATCCTCCGGGGAAGAGACTCCTATTAATTTCCTCTCTGGGTGGGCCCCGAGCTTTATCTTGTGGCCCCTGATTCCCTGCACCCAGATTGAGGAACCATCTCAAGGGAGCCAGCTTCAGCTCTAGCTGTCTTCCCGCCTTCCTACCTTTACTTAGGTTTTTGTCCTCTAAGGATTTTACTTTCCTGCCAGTTCAGAAATATGTAAGTTGAGCCTTTAGTTAGAATATCTAACCAATTGCAGTTCAAAAACTGGTAACTTTGGTAATTCATAAATACGATAGTAGTTTTTGTCTTCAATAACCATTACTCAGAACTTTTATGGTTCTTTAGGATTCAAATACTTCACTGACCTCTGAACCAGCAGATACTTAACACTATTAGTCAAGCATTCTGATTATATACATATATTTATGTCTTCCTTGCAATTAGTTATTGTAATTTCTGAACTTCTAATAAACTTATCTTTTTAAATGTATGTTTGCTATCTTAGCAATTTAGTCATAGTCACCATTAAGACTTGTTGCTTTAAGCTTATTAATTTTAACCATAGGATTAGGTATTAAGGTCAGTGATAGCATAGTTTTCTAGCATGCTCAAGGCTCTGGGTTTCATCCCCAGTACTGTAAAACAAAACAAAACCAAAAAAAACATAACTGTTTTGTGTACATGTAGTCTGCCACAGACTGATTCTAATTACACAGAAATTACACTGAGCTTCTGTTACAACTCATCCTTTTTCTGTGTATATGTGCACCTACTTGTTCAATCCAGTCACATTCTCATTTTATTCTTTTGGGTTGGGGTAATAAATCCTGGTTTGAGAAAGTGAGCTTTTAAATTTTGTTCAATAAAAGTAAAATAACTGCACTTTTAGTACTGAATAGCAAAAAAAGTAATGTAGGTGATTTACTCAAAATTTGAAAAGAAAACCTACAGTCTTATTTTTCCACTTCATCTAACGTGTCTTCATGCTGGTTATCATGCTGCTTTTTTCATGTAACATCATTTCTAAACATTTTCTGATGTTGGCTGAGTTTTGTATTTGAATAAAGTAGTTTTCAAATTCAAGCAGTACAAGAAAACACGTATGTCACCCTACCCTGAGTTATTGCCAAGACATTCTCCCTGTGTGTGTGTGTGTGTGTGTGTGTGTGTATGTGTGTGTGTAATATAGCATTCCATTACACAGGTTGGATTTTCTGTTATATATTTGCATTATTTCACCTAATAACATGTCCTACACACTTTTCCAAATCAATTTGTCTAGACCTACCTAATTATTTTTACCAATTACCAATCTCCCATTATCCCCTACTCTAACCAGTCCCTCACTGATATATGTAGCTATCACTTGCAATGACTATATAATATCCTATTAGATGGATATATTGATAAAGCTATTATACTTTGAGCTGCATTTTGGAAAGTTTCTGAACTGTCTTGTCTTAGTAACTTTCTTAATTGCTGGGACAAAATATGAGGCACTTACAACATAAAGGAGGAGAGGTTTATTTTAGCTCATAGTTTTAGAAGTTTGAGTCCGTGGTTGAATGCATCCAGTGCAGAAGTGACATGGTGGAAGGGTCTGAACAGAGGGAAGCTGCTCATGTCATGGTTGTAAGGAAGCAGAGAGAGAAGGAAGGAGCTGGGGTGAGAAATAAGCCCTGCCTGGTTGTGCCCCCAATAATCTACCTCTTCCAGTGAGGTCCCACCTCCCAGTAACACCTCAGGACACTGAACTCAGTGGTGGATAAATCCACTGTTGAATACAGCACTCCCGTGATCCTTCCAAAAGCCCCATCTCTGAACATATGAGTCTAGTAAATGTATCCAGTACCATTTGGGCTATGTTATAATTATATATTTGATTTTATGACATTATACAATTCTTTTTAATTAATTTTATTGGCACACTTTATATAAATATTATATGTTATGTAATTATACATATAAATAAATTTATACCTGTACATAATATCTCTTCATTCCTCTTTTTTCCCCATTTCCCTCCCCTCCCTTCAATCCTTCTTCCCCTCCTTATTTACAAAAACTTTGCTTCCGTTTTTTTCTTTCTATTCTTTTTTTTCTTTTCCCTTCTTTCCCTCCCCCCTCCACCTTCCCTTGTTCACATTCCCATTTGAACATTTTCTTCCTACTTCCCAATATACGTCATATCCATTTTGGTCTTTATTTATACTTTCAGCTTCTCACACAAGAGAAACAGTGTGATATTTAAACATAAGTGTTCAATTTATTTCAATTAAAAGTATGATCTCACGGTGGATCCATTTACCTAAAATGTCTCCTTTATTATTCTTTATAGCAGAGTAGTACTCCATTGTATATAAAAACCACATTTTCTTTATCCATTCATACATTGATGAGCATCAAGGCTGTTTCCAAGACTTAGCTATACCAAATTGTGCTACTATAAATATGGGTGTGCATATATTGCTGTGGTTTGATGCTTTTAACTTTCAGGAAGACACCAAGAAGAGTGGGACTAGCTGGGTCAAATGGAACCTCTAATTTTAGTTTTTTGAGGAATCACCATACTGATTTCCATATTGTGCCAGTCTACACTCCCACCATCAGTGGAGAAGGGTTCCTTTTTCCCCACAGCCTCACCATCATTTGTTACTGATGATAGCCACTCTTTCTGAAGTGAGATAGAATCTCAGTATTGTTTTAATTTGCCTTTCTTGAATGACCAGTGATGTTGAAATTTATTTATTTATTTATTTTTGGGACAGGATCTCATTATGTAGTTTAGACTGGTCCTGAACTCACTAGTTAGCCCAGTTTGACTTTGAAATCATGGCAGTCCTCTTGTCTCAGCCTCCTGAGTGCTGGGATTACATGTGTGTGCCACTACTGCCAGTCTTTTTCTCATATATTTATTTGCTGTTTGTAGTTCTTCATTTGAGAGATGTCTATTCATTTCAGATGCCCATTTTTGGATTGGGTCTTTAAATTTGAGGGGTCCAAATTTTCTGATATTTCTAGATGTTAGTTTTGAGGAGTAACTGGCAAAACTTTCTTCCCATTCTGTGGGTTGTCTCCACTCTGTTAGTGGTTTCTTTTGCTCTACATATATTATATAATTCTTAATATTTACAAGTTATATGCTTCCCACTTGATTATAGAGGTGTTGTAACATATAATAGCCATCAACCTTACCACCTTATAGCAAGGGGTGTTTTTTTTTGTTTTTGTATTTGTGTGTGTGTGTGTGTGTGTGTGTGTACACATACACAAATATGCACACACACACATACTTTCATTTGAGTTCACTTTTTTACAAATTATTATTTTTTTATTTTATCAGTTCAGTTTAGTGGCTACCATATCCAGAGTTTTCAGCCAATTATTGAAGGAAATGTAAGAGAAATATAAACTATTTCTAGAGTTTATATTTAAGTTGCAATATAAAACACAGCAAATTGTGAAATAATCATGTGATGCCAAGTTCTGTCCTAGGCACAACATTGTGTTAGGTTGAACCATCCTGAAATTGCAGATATTCAGCTATTTTGGCCTATAAAAAAGATAATTTCATATATGATTCAACCCATCCTGTGCAGCAGGTAAGAGAGCATTACAGAGGCAAACATGAGTAGGCTATAAATATCTCTTTTAACAGGTGGGAAAGGTATCAGAAGAGGAAGCCTCGAGTTTGGGATTAGCATGGCAGCTATAAACTCTATGGAAGTAGTGGATAACTTCACACTTTAAGTTAAGCTAAATATATAATGTAGAAGACACAGTTAAGTAGAAAAGCCTGACTCTTTTGAGACTGAATGCCAAGGAAAGATACCTGAAACTTTTTTCTCACTCTGCTTTTGCAGAGCTAGGGAATCACCCACAGGGCCTGGCACATGCTAGGCAAGTGCTGTCTTGCTGAACTACACCTCTAGCCCTCTTTTTTTTTAACTTTTATCCTTTAAACCACCAGATGTCAAACTGTAGTATGCAGTAAAGCCTCTTGATAAAGTAAATTGCTCAGCCCCACTGCTAAAATTTCTAACTCAGGGTAGCTAGATTGGACCCCAAAATTTTTAAATATTTTCAGGTGATGGCGATGCTTATATTGCTAGTCTGGGAACTTCCTTTGAGAACCACTGCTTTATGCTATCACAGATTTATTGTAGATACTTTAGCATAGAATGCCCTCCATGAGATTGCTTTAGGAATTTTATGCAGAATTGTGAAGGGTAGATTAGAAAGAGTGATAAGAGTCAGTGTATCTATTTTATGAAGACCACTATATATTAATGACTCTGAAATAATCCAAAATTATCCCACATAGTCTTATCTGCTGTTTTTACTTCTCAGTACTGTAACCTGACCTCGACTATTTTCTTTACTCTATACCCATGCTGAAGAGTGACTCTCCGTTTTCAATTTTTTAGTCTTCTGTTTTTCTGCCCTCTTATTCTCTTTTCCTTAGCTTTAAGGACCATGTTAACTAGTGAAGTTGTCAGAGCTATAGTTGTTAAACATTTCATTCATATTTACTATTTTGTCTCCTTTCTCCAAAGGAAGACTTTTATATTCTTTTTTTATTTCAGAATGTAAAACTGAAGCCCAAGCATGTATTCCAATAGAGAATATTCCTAAACTCAAACAAGATGGAACACAAACTATCAAGTTGGAAGAGCTATATGGCTATGATGATGGATTAGAGAGGCAAGCAACAGATACCTTCAGGAAAATTTCCACGAATGAAAGAGATTTCAGTTTGAAGTCAGTCTTTCCACAAGATGATCTTGCAGAAGAATATCTTAGTAAATATGACATATATGGAAATGATTTTGATAAGCATTTAAACCTAACTCGACAGTTTGATACCCAATCAGATAATAAAACTTTTACATATAGTGAAGACAAGCCAGTCTTCAATAATTTCTCATACGGTACTGTATATAGGAAAATACTTCCTGGAGATAAGCCTTATAAATGTAATGTGTGTGGGAAAAAATTTAGAAAATACCCATCCCTCCTGAAACACCAAAGTAGCCATGCCAAAGAGAAATCTTATGAATGTGAAGAATGTGGGAAAGAGTTTAGGCATATTTCATCCCTCATTGCACATCAGAGAATGCATACCGGAGAAAAACCATATGAATGCCACCAATGTGGTAAAGCCTTCAGCCAGCGTGCACACCTTACTATACATCAGAGAATTCATACTGGAGAGAAACCCTATAAATGTAATGATTGCGGGAAAGACTTTAGTCAGCGTGCACACCTTACTATACATCAAAGGACGCATACTGGAGAAAAACCATATAAATGCTTGGAATGTGGTAAGACCTTCAGCCATAGTTCATCACTGATTAATCATCAGAGAGTTCATACTGGAGAAAAACCTTATATATGCAATGAATGTGGGAAAACTTTTAGTCAGAGTACACATCTTCTTCAGCATCAAAAGATACATACTGGAAAGAAACCATATAAATGCAATGAGTGTTGGAAAGTGTTTAGTCAGAGCACTTATCTTATTCGACATCAGAGAATTCATTCTGGAGAAAAATGTTATAAATGTAATGAGTGTGGAAAGGCCTTTGCTCATTCCTCAACTCTTATTCAACATCAGACTACTCACACTGGAGAGAAATCCTACATATGTAATATATGTGGGAAAGCCTTCAGTCAGAGTGCAAACCTTACTCAGCATCATAGAACACACACTGGAGAAAAACCATATAAATGTAATGTTTGTGGGAAAGCATTCAGCCAGAGTGTGCACCTAACTCAACACCAGAGGATTCACAATGGAGAAAAACCCTTTAAATGCAATGTATGTGGGAAAGCATATAGACAGGGTGCAAATCTCACTCAACATCAAAGGATTCATACTGGAGAGAAACCCTATAAATGTAATGAATGTGGGAAAGCTTTTATTTATTCCTCATCACTTAATCAACATCAGAGAACTCATACTGGAGAGAGACCATATAAATGTAATGAATGTGACAAAGATTTTAGCCAGAGAACATGCCTTATTCAACACCAGAGAATTCACACAGGAGAGAAACCCTATGCATGCCGAATATGTGGTAAAACCTTCACTCAGAGTACAAATCTTATCCAGCATCAGCGAGTTCATACAGGTGTCAAGCATCGTAATTAATGGATATTGGAGACTTCATTTAGGTTTTTTAGTTTGATCACTTAAATTTTATTTTGTATGCTCTGTGTGTTAAAACATTATTCAAAAGAAATCTGAAGAAGTGCAATATAAGATATCAGCAGAAGTATCAGAACTCATAATGTGGATATACTCGTTAAAACTTAATGTGTAATGTAAAAAGAAAACCTCACTGACTTCTTAAATCTTTATTTCATACCAGTTTAACTCATTCTAGAAAGAAACCCTATGAAAAGATATTTAAAAAACTAACTCTTCAACTCTCAAGGTATTTCAAGTACTTTTTTAGAGGCCTTAAGAATGTGACTTGGGAAAGTCCATCAAGTAGAGATATCACACTAGAGAGTAATCCTGGGATTATAGAAGAGAAAAAGCTATTTTCAGGCCTTTATTTCATCCCCACTTTGAAGCCTTAAGATATGTAAAGGTTTCCCTTTCACCCTCTTATGCCATTACTGCCATATAAAACCAGTAGGTTTGAGAGAAAAAAGTTGAAAATATGTTAAAGATTTCTGTGACCACTGTTTAACCGTGCTTTCTCTCAAATACTGAAATATTAAATGAAGAGAAACTTAATGAAAGATGATGTTGAGACAGAAAGTAGTGTAAATAACCCTAAGGCGTGTGTACAGACTTAAGCAGGCAAAAATTTAAACACCTCAAGCTTAAATTAATCTTTAAAAAGGTAAGCCTTAGTTTCACTAGGTTTTGACATCCATGGTCATCCTGAAGGAAAAAAGTAAGCATACAGTTCCTATTTTTTTCCACCAGAGGATTCATAATTCATAATTTAAAGTTCCCTTGTGGTCCTTTTACTGTGGGAAGTCCATTTCTTCCACTAAAATACATTTCTTGAGTGCCTACTGTGCTCTCAGGTCCCAGATTTCCTGATTGAACCCTTTCAGGCTTATTACAGCGCTGAAAGTTACAGCTGATTTAAGCAACAGAATTTTTTTTTATAGTAATGAGAAACTAAGGACATGATCTTAATTAAGTATTTTGCTATGGAATGAGCATAAAAAACTTGATAAAATGGGTGCCAGATATGACCCCATAACCCAAGTTAGGAAGTAATGAAGGCAGCTATCTAATGTGAGAAAATAAGCAATGGAAAATGGACTTGGGTTCACTATAGAGAGTGGGTCAGGGAAAAATCAAGGTGAAAAACAAGTGAGGAAAGAGACAAAACAACTGATAAATACAACGGGACTTGGTATACTGAAGAAAGTAAGAGTGGTGAAATAAAAATGAAATTTAGCCTATTTATAAGAAAAATGAAATGACTGATTTTAAAGGAATAATTTGAAACCTGGTACTCCTTCATATACGAAAGTAAAACAGAGGTTACTCAATGTGTCAGAAGAAAATTGTCCATTGAAAAAAACATTGTACAGAAACTATCATTGATACAGTAATCATTAACCAACTTTGTGGGTCCTAAACGACATTAATGGAAAACTGGCAGAAATAGGTTAAAAAAAATACTGTTGTATTTGACATTCATAGTTTTCCAGTCTCAAAATAGACCACGATTCCATTTTGTTTCTCCAGTGCCTTGCATATTGCACATGATCAACGTATTTTGGTTAAGTTAATGAATGAATATGTAAATTAGAGTTGAGTAAGTATAAAACTGACTGGCATGGAGTAAAAATTGGTTAAAAACAAAAATGACTTGTGCATATTTAAAACAAGTGTTTAACAACTGTTGATTATTTACCAAGTAATAGGAACTACTTAAAAATGGAAAATCTGAAATCATGGGACATCTTTGCACAAAGAAATGTTCCTGAGCTAAATGGGGAAAACTGATAAATTCTGCTACCTTAAATATCTGAGCATGTATTGACCATACAATTTGACTTAGACATTACTGTTTATATAAATATCCTGCAAACAGGTGATGTTAGGCAAAGGTGCGAGCATCTTCAAAGCTATATTGTTGAGTATTTTCTTGAAGAAATTGTTGCTTTCCCTTTTCCTGACATTAGTTAATCTTGATTTCATTGTATCATCCTTCACAATGTGCAGGTTGCAAAATACTCAAATTATGCTTCATCTCTTAGTTGTTAAAAAATAACAGTTGTATTTAAGATATGATTTTTTCTGGTGTTGCTTCATCTTACACAATACTTTTCTCCTTTGGAATGAATGTTTGGAGTGTTACAGTCTGTATCATCTTTCTTCTCCATAATTTCTGCCTTTGTATGCTTTATGTAAATAGTGCATTTATAAAGTCTTCCATTGATACACAGAGGTAATTGATGCCCTTATAAAAAATAATAGAATAATAGTGCAGAATACTAGGTTTTTGTGTGTGTTTTTCTCCCCAATTATAGAATTGTCTGAACATGAGTAACTCAACAATTTTTAGCAAATAGTCTTTATTTTCCCTGACTTATCAGGAAAGTTGTACGCATAAAAGTTTTAAGATAATAAAATGAACTATACCCACCACTAATGTTAAAAATTAACATTTTGCCATATTTGTACTAAACAGTTGGAAAGTAGTTTATAGACATGACATTTCACCTCTACTACATTTCATAAAAACAACAGTTGTTTATATAACCACAATGTTAAAAAGAAAATGAACAGTCCTTCCCTAAAACACTATCTAAATCCCTAGTCCATATTTGAATTTCTCTTGATCTAGTTTTCACACATTCTTGTATCTGTTTCATCTCCCAGACAAGTCAGACCTTGGCTTACCTGGACTGTACTGGGTGACAAGGAATTGTCTTGGACTGCATATAAAATGTGTAATACAGTTAATGTGTGCAAGGATCAAAACTTCCTTTCTTATATTTGTGGTTATAAGTTTTTAAAAGAGGGCAAGCAGCCTGTAGGCTGCAGGTTGGACTTGCGTCACAATCCCCACCTTTTGTTTTCCTTCTTCTTAAGAATGTAAGTCAGTTGTAGAGTGTTTCACATTTGGAATTTAACTATTGACGTGTATAAGTGCTATATTCTTGTATTTTCTGAAGTTTCTGGAAATTAGAAGATCAAAGGCTTGATTGACTCAGGTTAAACACTTTTAACACTAACACATAACAGATCTGTTTTCTTTTGCATCATCTGAATATCAGGTTGACTCATTGAGCTCAAGTGGCTCAATTTGATCATTGAGCTCAAGTGGCACTCACCAGTTCTTCCCAGCATAAAAATAGTTTGTCCCATTGCAGTTAACAATCTGGACTGACAGTGGGGAAGCAATCTTTTTACCTGGTTGGTTATATTAATACCCAACAATAATCCTTGCCTTAGTTAATTTTTTCATCAAAGTTAGCAAAATGGTGATTTTCTAATTCTATTATTCTTTCCACATTGTTGAGTACTAAACTCCAAGGAAGAACTTGCCCTTGTTAACTGGGCATACACTGGTTCCAGAGTTATTCTCAATTCTTTTCCTTTAATTACCACTTTAGGGGTTCGTTTACCAATAAGGTGTGTGGTATTATTGTCTGCAGTGATAACAAATCACTCAGTGTGTTAAGTCAATTACAGTTATTTCTGATGGTTAAATTGCCCAAATTTGGCTAGTCAGAACCCTTATACTAGCTCTTACGTCCTTTTGACATTTCCCCTCTAGTTATTGGGCCTTTAATTGCCTTCTGACACATATCTTAAGTTCACTCTGCACTTCAGTACCCCTAGACATGGAATAAAACATTGCTGCAGTAATTTGTGGCTCTTTTTAATAGGCAGCTACTTAGAAACCATGATCTGGATACAATGCATGTTCATTGCAACTGGAATGTCCTTAGCAAATCTTTCCATATGTTCAACTTGGTTTCCATAATGAAGAAATTCTGCACTTAGTTTGGTGGCTACATAATGTCTTAATTATGTAATGAGAGATACAATTACATACTGGAATAAACTTTTGGGAGCAAATAACTCAGTCTTGAACATACAAGTAAATTAAACAGAACAGAACTGTTTAGAAAGGAGAAAATTTTAATCACAAATAGCCTTATGCCAAGATCATCAGGAACATTTAGAGGGAATGCAGTTTGTCACTTAATCTGGCAAATGAGTTAAATAGATTACAATTAAGAGAGGAAATAGATGTATGATACCTACTATATCGTGTTTTAACTATTACATATCAATTATTTATAAGCCAATCACCTGCCCATCTTTTTTTTGTAATTCATGGGGTTGAACCCAAGGCCTTGGGCACAAGCGCTACTGCTCCACATCCAAACCCCTCCCATCGCTTTTTGTTTGTTTGATTGAGATGTTTCACTACGCAGTTCAGGTTGGCCTTGGACTCACTATGTAGCCCAGGCTGGCCTCAAACTTGTGGCAATCCTCCCACCTCAGGCTCCCAAGTGTTAGAACTACAGGCATGTGCCACCATACCTGGCTGTTATTTGGTCTTCAAACCTTTAAGGCACTTCTATTTAGTTCTTTTATCTTCTCATGTCAATTCACTTGCATTTGCCTGTAAATATATCCATGCTATTATTCTCCCAATGGCTCTATGCTTTACCCCTTCCAACACTAGAACCATTAAAAATGGCAAGCATGCAAAACATGGTGATCCATGTAAATATATGTATAAGACTATAAGCAACATTTGGTCTTCCACTGTATAGATGGGAAAAGTGAAACCTGTGATGTGGTACTGTCTTGCATGAGATCTTATGCCACAGAGTAACAGAGTAAAAATTAGAAACCATACTCCCAACTTGTAATTGTGTTCTTATTGTAAAATAATGGTAAATAGAAATACTGAGTACAAACAATATGTACCTACAGTTTTATAAAATTAGGTATTTTTGAGATTAGAGCATTGAAAAAGTCTTTTACCTGCTTTTGTCTTCTCTCCCATATAGCTTCTTTAAATCTTTAAGAGTAGCCAAGCTCAGGATGCACCTCCCCCTTCCAATTTTTGGTCTCCCATCCAGATGTTTCCCAAGTCCCAAGTTTCAGAACTATACAGTCAATGATCACCAGGAACTATCTCACAAGGACTTTAACTGTTATGGTCAAAAGCTGAGTTGTTTTTAACCCCTAAACCTCTTTTTAAGTTCATTATAAGGAAGCTAGTAGTTATCATCTTTGATAATTGTCTTAATCCTATTGATTTTACAAGCAAGTTACCTGTTTGGTGCCTACAGAATAGAGGCAAGTTCTGTGTCCAGAAGTTGAAAAGTAATGATAACATGCTCACTGGACATTGATTTAAAACTATACTGGAATTTTATATTCATTCTTGAGCATTATACCTTACACTAGAGTCCTAGGAAGCCCCAGCTACTAAAGGTATTCTAGTACCACTAATATGAAGATGATAAAGGTTGCAAGGAAGAATACTCATTGTCCTGCCCTTTCTGGAACCTAAAGAAGGTCATGGATAAAACTTGATTTTTAAATGATTCTATAGTGAAGAAAGGAACATCTTCTGAAAACTACAAACAAGAAAAAAGAAATAGCTCAAACCTGTGTGAGGAAAGAACATAATGGCCATTTTTCCCTGTTCTCAGAAACAACAAGACTGTAAAAAGCTGGGGAGAGAAGGAAACCAAAGACTGTCAGATCTACCTTACCACAATAGCCACAAGCCAACAGGGATAATACACCAAAGTGAGAGGTTAAATGAAAACCTGGAAATAGTTCTACTCTTTTCCAGGTCTAAAAGAGCAGGCCACGACTTTTGTTACTTTAGCCAGCACCTGTCACCTTGAATTCCCAGATCTAGGTGAACACTCTTCCATTTCTCTACCAAGATTTGGCAAAATACTGTTTGGCTGGAAGTCCGAGCTAAAGATGAGTTTTACATTTTCAAATGGTTGGAAAAACACAAAAATATTTCATGGCATATGCAAGTTGTATGAAATTCAAATTCAGTGTCAATAAAGTTTTGTTGGACTATAGTCACACCCATTCATTTATTGCTATTTCTGTGCTACAAAAGAACCAACAACAATAAGAGACCACAAAGCCCAAAGTATTTGCTACATGGGGAGCATGTTAGGAAATAAAAGTTAACCAATGTTGGTGAATATAAGTGAAGGATTACAGGGAACATTGCCAGAAGTCCAGGTTAGAATTGTAATCTTAGTTCAGGAAACAGGTGGACCGTCCTACCCTTTCCTTGGCCATGTACCTATATACATCTGTTTTCCATCAGATTGAAGAAAAGTTGTGTGTAGGGATCAGGTTCTAGGGGAGCGGTCTGGTCTTTCTCGAGTTTCCCACTATTGTTTTGACAAAATCTTGTGAAAGGAAACGTGGGTTCAAGTTAGTGTATTGTTCCTGACACGTATTTAACTCAGTATCCCTTTCCTCTAACTTCAGTCCTTCACTCCAGTCTGCAGAGAGGACAGCTTCTCAGATGTGAGACCCTGTTCATTCCTAACTATGAATCTCCTTTATGTATACCCATTTGCCCACTCCCTATGAATACCTGACTTCTTCTCACCTCCAGTGCTTCAAAACCACCCACATGGTGAGATAATACTCACTCACCTGGAGACAGCTCACCATCAAACTCTTAAGTGAGAAGTGACAGCCAAGGGACCAATCTCACTGCCTGCAGGTGAGAGCTCAGCCTTAAACCTTATTTAAAAGATTCCTGATACAAAAGCTGTACCCTCTGTCAGTTCAGCTCTGCAGCCTTCCCAGTGTGCTACAGTTCCTAGGCCCAAAGACTAATCCAGGCAAGCTAGCTTCCAGTTTGAAAGGGTTTATGGGGCACTAGGCGGGGCAGGATGTGTAGGTATTGCCAGAAAAGTGGTCTGCACCCTTTGTGGAGCAGATGCACTGTCCTTCCATCATGGTCAAGTGCTACACTGCAGCCTCTTTGCCTACATCTGCAGGTTCTCTCTAGGGCTGGAAGGGAGGGGGAGCCAGGCATCCTGGTCCTGGTGAGCATGGTATGGTAGAGGTGGTTTGGCTTATTTTACACTGACTACAAATTTAAATGAGAGAGACACATAGAATAAGGTCCTCATTAGCTTTCTAGTCAGGCAAATCCTGACTACAGTTAAAACTTTGGTGGAGCGAGCAATCAACAAGACCACAGGGAGAGTTGATAAGCAGAGCACAGAGGTAGCCAGGTGCATTAACCAAAATAGCCATCCCTCCCCACCTCCAATGAAATGCAAAGGAGACAAAGGGGAAGGGGCTATCTAAAAGGAGATTTTATGTATATGTATATATACATATGTATATTTTATGTATATTCACTCTAGGGTCACTATAATATTGCACTAAATACACACACATCCCCCTACTTAATCACTAACTCCAAGTGACTTTGCATGTAAGACTCCTAACCAATCTAT